GGAAAGAGAAATCAGTCTCCAGGGGTGGTGGCCATGCCACAGTCCCTTCTTCTTCATCCTTCTCCTGGGATTTTGGGCACATATGTACATGTGCTAAGCATGATTTTCAAGTCATCGAGTCTGGAAGTTGAACTACTGTAGTCAGTCATGTGAGAATCCAGGCCAAGGTGTAATTCTAATAGGACTGATCCTCTGATAAAATTGGAGTTTGGAAAAAGTACCCTTTGAATTTGAAAAGCCAAGAAAATAGAAGCATTATTACTGCTTTGTTTGTGAAATTGATGCAGAAGAAAATGATTTTCAGACAAAGCAGTAGGGCTTGCATGCCTCACATTTAGCTTATTTATCAAGTGTGCAGGGATGAGATTTGAATGCTGGTTGGCCATGTAGGATCCAGCTCCCCTAATTATTAGGCTACGAGTCAAACTCCCCACTTCATTTTTAATGGCTAGAGGGTGTGTGAGTTCACCAGAGGGAGAGAGAGTGTGTGAAAACACCTCTCAATGGGTCGTGGTCATGCCACAATCCCTTCTCTTCCATTTCTCCACTCCATTAAGATTTTGTACTCACTGTGTTGTTCGAGCCACTCATGCTGGGACTTAAATCACAGTCAGCCATGTGGGGTCTAGCTTCTCAGGTACAAACTTCGACACTTTGCTACAGGGCCAGCCCCCACACAGCTTTTACCTTTAAATAATTTTCTGTGGCTGGATTGTTAACAGATGAGTATATTTGAAAGGTTAAATTTTTTTAAAAGTCCACTGATGAAAACTTTTAAGAATCTGTATTCTTTATCAAAAATGCTTTTGTAGATTCCACAATTATCTCTTTTTGAAAATATGTTCTAATTACCCGAATAATAAGTCAATGAAAAATTAGCTTTAAAAATTAGCTTATCTCTGGATGGATAGTTCAAAGCTGAGAGAGTCTTATGAAATCCACAATTGCCCATGTCCAAGACTGATATATTTTTTGACTTTCCACACAATTCTAACACATTACTCTAATATCTAATTGGTAAATCTTTATATTGTTTAAGTTTTATAGGAGGACAGTAATCTTTCTTCATAAAAACTCTTAGGACTGCTTGATAAACATTTTATTAGTTAAAAAATTGTGGGTTTTCAAATATTATTAAATACCTTTATTAATGAGGATCCTTGGGTATTATATCTCAGAGATTTGCTTATAAGATATTGCTTTGACACTGAAGAAAAATATGCCTGAACATAAAAATTTGGCAGATATCCTTTTTGCCTTAAAACTTCTGCTATTCTCTGGTGTAGAAAATTGCACTAGTACTATTTTATGACTGTTCAATTTATTTTTTGATTGCCGTGTATATCATCATCAACATGTTTTAAAAAATACCTGTTTTTAGAAGGTGCTCCCTGAGTTTATTCATATCTGAAAATTTTTCCTCTTATTGATAATTGAATCATACTCTGCTGGGTTAAAATGTGTGAATAAAAGACAAGGGTTTTTGTTGTTGTTGGCTTGTTCTGTTTTTTGAATTCTGAATATATTTTTCTAATGCTATTCTAACACTGAACATAATTGTAGAAATGTCTGAAGTTAACCCTTATCTTACTCTTGTATGTGACATATTTTATATCTGCATGAAGGCCTGCAGAATTGTTTTCTTAAAAATATTTAAAGAACTTTTTGCCTTAGGGTGTGTGCACTCACTAAAGAGAGACATTATCAGAGACAGTGGGAGGAAAAGTGAGAAATCACCCCACTAGGGGGATGGTCATACCTTAATCCTTTCTCTATTTTCTTCCCTGGATCTTAGACATGCATGCACATGCAACTGGCATGATTTTCAAGCATCCATGTCCAGGCCTCGAACCACAATGAACCATGTAGGAGTCTAGCAACATAACCCTTATGTTATCTACTGGCACCCAGAATTATTTTTCCAGATTTGAGGTTCAATAGACAATAGGCATTAATTATCCTAAATTGAGTTTTTTTGGAATATGGCATGTGTTTACTTTAGTTTCTCTTTAATCTCAGGAAAAAAATATTTATCAAAAAATTTAAAGAATTTTGTTCTTGTGATTGTCCAATTTCTAAGTGTCTTACAGGTTTTGGGGCCTAATTTTCCTTAGATTGCATTTCCTCAGTTATTTCTATATTTCTCCTAGTTGTGTCAGTATTTGTCACTCTTTTACACATTTTAATTACATACAGTGCTCAATTCTATATTTCTGTTCCCTATTATTTCTAATTCTTTATTTGTGTAATGCTGTAGATTCAGATTGCAATTTATTTTCTTAATTATAATCTTTCCCTTTTAAGCTAATTGTGCATTTTATTGTCTTAATATTAAGTTTTTATTTCCTTGTACTCATTTTTTAATAATTTATTTCATATTAAATAGTACTGTAAAAGTTTTTCTTTGGTTGAATTTGCTTTCAGAATCAAGTCAGTATTTGATAATATTCTCCCTTCCTTCTTTCTTTATTTCTTGTTTTCTTCCTTCCTTCCTAAGTATATATTTCCATGGGTTCTAGATATTTCCTTTTAGTTAGTTCATGCTTGACTTAGTTCTGCTTAGGCTCTTTTCCCTTGTTTCTCAACACAAGAGGTGAAATTGCCTTGCCTTTTTATCAGCTACAGTTTGAAGAAATTAACTTCATACATTTTTCTTTTCTATAACCTGAGGGGCTTGGGGAAGATGTCAAGGGAGGGGTATAATCCACACAAGTCTGCATACAGTTTTGTACGATGGCTCATATTCCTGTCTCTCTTGCGCAATTTGGTTAAACAATTTGTACCAAGTTTTCTTTGTGCTAGCAAGGGCTTTATTCTCTGTGAATGTGTGTGCAATGTCACTGTGCTGTGTACTAGTTCCTACAAATTAATGAATTGCATTGAAAAATTACATACCCTATGGTTTCCTTCTATCTCCACTGAGATCCTGTAGCAGCCACTGGTCCCTAGGGATTGTTGTCCTGAATGATATTCACTTCATTTTTCTCAGGCTACCTACTCACCACGTTGACCTGCTTTACTACAATTTGTGAGGTATCAAAAAAATGTAGAACCATTTTTAGTTCCTTTTCAGCAATACCAATTGCAGTAGTTTCTAAATGAATGATAGACAAAAGAGCCATGTTGGGCCCCTTAATTTATCCATTGTGTTATTGAAAAAAAATTTCTTCCATGAGCTTTGTTTTTTCCCCTTTGCTTTCTTCATGATTATGAGTTTTTGACTAGTTTACAACTAGTTTTTAATTAATTAATTTGTTTGTTTTGATGTTTGTTTATCC